GCGTGGGAGTGTGTTTCTGTGGAATGAAAAGTCCCACACATATGCTCATTCCTATCTCGAGCCTCTGTAATTATCATATTCATTATAATAAGCCCTTCTTTACAGCCCTAATAGCATCAGGAAATAGAGAGCTCTAGTCTACAAGGACTTTGAGAGACAGAGCCATAGTCTTGTGGACAGCAATCGCTTGAGCGTTGACATCAAAGCAGCTGGGGTCGGTGCTGCCTTTGTGTGTGTTTGTGGGCGAGCTGCTTATATCGCCCTCCATGCAGTTGATCAGACACTTGGATGGGCTTCCAGGGGCTTTTCTAACGGTAACCTAGATTACAGCTCCTTGCATTAATACTGCATAAAGAAAGCTTTAACCCTGTGACACGATGTGGAGTTTTCAGTCCGGGGTGCGAGACTCATACGTTGCTTCCTCCACGGACTTACGCTCTATAGGAATGACCCGTCCTAGCCTGTTCTGTTCAGTGAACGTATGTGTGACTGTTTGGGGAAAGTGTGTGCTCGTGTGTGTCTGGTGGTGTGTTGCGTTTGTCCCAATTTCTTTTGAAATTCAGGGTGCTCATTCTTTGTTTTATGGGTCACCCATATAGAACGGGTCAATACAGTGTGTTGCCGTTCCTCTCAGGAAGGCACTGCCTCCCTGTTCTTAGATGAGTCTATTAATATTCTTTAGCTCAGAGATGGTGTTTGTCATTGCATGATGGGAGATTTGTTTATTCCTCTTCATACTTTTTTTCAGTGACAAATGGTATAAGTAGTCTAAATGAGTATGTAAGAGGATTGTCTTTGTACCTGTTGAGAAATTGTCTGACTGAGTCTCTCATAACCAAACATGTAGAGAAACATTGGAATTTATACTACTTTGCTGCCCAAAGTAAGCTTGTTTATGCTGGTTAGTGCTAGTGTTAAGATAAGCATAGTCATACTGTTTAACAGCATAACTTTGCTGGTGGAGCTAGATGACCATTATGATCTTAATTGGTAAAATGGTTACTAAAACAGACCATACACACTTAAGGTGGTCAATTTGTTTTGTGTAACATGAAACTAATTGTCATGCTACAAAAATCAGCTTGACCACCAAAGATCGAAGGATGTTTATAGTCTTGACCAACATAGTCTACCAGGGCTAGGGTTGCAAAGGGGTGGAAAATTTCCGTAAACTTTCCAAAAATCCCTTGAAAAAGTTTCCAAAATTTCTGGAATATTTCTGAAATTTACTGGAAATTTTCCACCTTTTTGCAACCCTAACCAGGGCTACAGCAGGTCTTCCAACTGGTGGTCGAGCTAATTAACCAAATCTAGCTTGACTAGCTATCTAAACCAGTGATTCACAACCCTGTTCCTGGAGGCACACCAGCAGCATACATTTTCAAACTGTTCCTAATCAAACATACCCAGTTTAACTCATCAGCTCTTTAGAGACTCCAAGACATGAAGTGGATGGGTCAGATTAAGGAAGCATTCAAAATGTGTGCTGTTGGTTCAGCTCTAAGAGTAGGCTTGGGAAACACTCATCTAAACTACCTTGACTAGCTTGGACCATAGTAGGAGTGGGAATCACCAGAGGCCTCACGGTATGATATTATCACGATACTTGTGTCACGATACAATATTATTGCGATTTTAAATCTATTGCGATATTCTGCGATATATTGCAATTTATTACCTTTTTCCAACTTCAAATTATGTCCCCAAAGGAACACTTTGACATCATCTGTTTTAACTAACAATAAACATTTCTCAGTTTGTTTATCTCACTTCAGTTTTATTGTTGCAGTGCAAAATGGGATTGTCAAGCAGACAAACTGACCAACACTTTCATGAAAACCTGTCATAAATGTTGTATGCACCTGGCAAACTCAACTATTTGTATTACAGTCTAATCTAGTCCACCTTAATTAAATGTAAACAGGTATGCACTGCTGTGCTACTACAGGTATTTTGAACAGTGCAACTTGAAATTGTACTAAAAAGTTGTGCAGACCCTTCAGCAATTGGGGCATTTGAAAGTAAATTACTGTTAAATTTAAATTAAATTAAATAAAACATGTAGTCTTACATCTAGGGATGCACCGAAATGAAAATTCTGGGCCGAAACAGAAACCGAAAATTCTGGATGCACTTGGCCGAAAACCGAACCCGAAAATGCTTTGTAATTATTATTTATTATTTTATTAAATAATATAAAGTAATTTTGTAAGACTTTTTAAATTTAACTCAATTTTAATGATACTGAATTAAAAAAAAAACACAAGCCAATAAAATAACCACACTTTTACTGAAAGTAACACAATAAAACTGGACAGAATTTATATTAATATTGGTAACACTTTACAATAAGGTTCATTAGGTAACTACTTTAGTTAATGAACTAAGAATGAACAATA